CACGTGTGTAGCAGCTTTTACAGCACTGAGAGCCCAGTCATTTGGAGAAGTATTGACTTCTGCTGAACTTTGAGCTGAGTGCAATCTGAGAGGAAGCAGAATGAAATGGGTTCAGTGGTTTGTGAGTGTTCAGTGTTCATTACCCCTGACACAGGAATAAATGAAGGTGGCTGTGATGTGGGGATGGGATGTTGGGAGTGCAGAGAGTGGACAGGCACTGCCAAACCTTGGCAGTCAAAGCACTGGCCATGGAGTTGATGAATATCTGGCATTTTCTTGAAATAATTATTAATTTGGATGGAGGAGCCATCAGTGTGCTGTTGGATACAGGAGCCACTTGTGGCAGAGGAATGGTACTTGTTCTAATGACAAAGAGGAGGGAAAAAATAAATCCAACTTTATTTTACAGACTGGAGATCTGAGCTGATAAAGTTTATGACCTGCTCTTGACAGTACAGGAAATGTTGGTAAAGTTAAATCCTGAACTAAGCTCTCAGTCTCTGTGAAGCTGCTGTTTCATTCTTATTTTGTTTTTCTGTTCTCCTGTTTCAGCCTATTGGAGAATATATTAATGACTGGAACTGCTCGTTTTTAATGCAGATGTGGTTCTTCAGTGCTGGCCATTGTTTTTCCAAGCTGTGGTGTGCATGTGTGCGCCTTTACACCAAATAACATCCCACAAATCTGAACTCTTATTGATTTACAAGAAAAAGTTATCTGCTCTGATGATAAATAATTCAAAGCTCCTTTAAGATCCAGCAGTAGGAAGGGCAGTAGTGAGGAGAGTCTTGACCTAGTTCCAGTGGTAGGAGTATTGTACATATGGATACACCCATTGCCTCATTCTGTGCCCTTTCCTTTCCTGAGGTGTGAGTTACTTTCAGAACAACTTCAGGGACAAAGTCTGTGTGGAATGAATAGCAGGACTTATATAGAATTGTGGAATAGTTTGGGTGGAAAGGACCTTAAAGCCCAGCCAGTTCCACCCCTTGCCATGGGCAGGGACACCTTCCACTATCCCAGCTTGCTCCAAACTCTGTCCAACCTTGCCTTCTTCCAGGGATGGAGCAGCCCCAGCTTCTCTGGACAACCTGTGCCAGGGCCTCCCCACTCTCACACAGAAGAAATATTTCCTAATATCTAATTTAAACCTCCTCTTTGCCAGTTTGAAATCATTCCCCCTTGTCCTGTTGCTACATGCTCTTGGAAAAAGTCCCTCTCCATCTTTGTCAGAAGCATCAGAGCGAGTGCTGATTGTTTTCCTCTCCTCTGTAAATCCTGCTTTGGGCACGTTCCCACATCCACTGGGGTTGTGGGAATGGTCAGTGCCTCTGGTCAGTTCCTCAGCTCCAGTGGCCATCCTTGGGCACACACACACACACCCAGACACCCAGCAGAAGTTTGGTTTCTCCTGCTTGGCGTGCTTCTCCTTGGAGTCCCAGGCTGGCACTGCAGTGTTCCTGGGAGCAGCAGGAGTGGCTGTTGTTGTCCAGTGCTGCAGCCAAGGACAAGTCCTGCCTTTGGCTCAGCTCCTCTCCAAGGCTCCTTCTGCCTTGCTGCTCCTGCTGGAACTCGTCTGGGAGGGAGGATCAGAGATGCTCTTGCCTCACATGGCCTTTTCTGTGTTAGAAAGGACATAATGTGTTTTCTCCTGAGCTTTTCAGACGTGTTTTCAAGTAGAGATTTTCCTCCTGTGCCGACCTTGGCACTGCGGTTGCTGCCTGTGCCCTGCCAGGCTGCTCACAGACACTGAGAGCTGTTCCATTCCAGAATGGAGCTTAACCTTGAGGGCTGCTTTTCAGCAGGTTTCTTTGATCAAGGCTGGAGTAACTAGAGCTCCAAGATGCAGCTTGAAGCTCCTTTCAACAGACTGTTCAGCTCGTGCTTGAAATAAATCCCTTTGCTGGGCAGGTGGAGGAGCTGACCAGGTTAGAGCGACCTGTTTATGGTTTGATGAGGGTGTAGATAAATCATCTTCTGCCTGCTTGGGGCTGGCAGTGTGCTCTGCAGGCCTGGGGTGCTTGTTCAGCTCCTTCTTTGGGAGCGGCTTCACCCAGGGGCTCTCAGAAGTGCAAGGGCACCCAGCTGTTTGTGCCCGGGCACTGCTGGCATCTCCCTGGGGCAGTGGCTAAGGGCTTCCCTGTGCTCCCAGTTAAACCAGCAATTACAGAATCCCACAGTCACTGAGGTTTGAAAAGCCCTCCAGGACCATTGAGTCCAACCTGTGCCTGGTCCCCCACCTTGTCACCCAGCCCAGAGCACTGAGTGCCACATCCAGATGTTCCTTGGACACTTCCAGGGATGCAGACTCCACCTGGGCAGTCCCTTCCAATGCTTGACAACCCTTTCACTGAAGATAAAGATGCCCAGAAAGAGGTGCCCAGGGTCCAAGCTGCATTTCTCACCAAATTGTAGCCCTGACTTTGACTTCCCCTAAACATCCTTCAGTTGACTTGTGGTATGTGGATAGTAAATGGAGTGTTCCTGAATTTTTTTGTCGCTTGCGGTTTTCTTCCTCTTTGAAATGAAAAGAATACACGAACAAAAGGTTTTGCTGCAGTCCAGTTGGATGTGCTTTTGTTTCTGAAGTCTCCTTGGATTTTGTTTTTAGCCAAGTTTTGTTTCTGCTCCTTGTGAGTGCTGCTATTAAGGTGGCTCATGCTGTGAACTGAGATGAACTCGTGCAGACACGGCCACTTCTTGCATTAGTGCATGGTTTGTGCTGATGGCATCTCTGGCCAGGGAAAGCTTTTCAGAAATGGCTGCATTTCTGTGGAATGCAGCTTTTAATCCCAGATTGTTTACGTGTAGGGCTACTAATGAGTCAACAGGCTAAAGCAGAGAGGGAACCTTTTTTCCTGTTTGTGGAATGTGCTAAGCTCCATTTTAAAATTTTCCATCCTTCTGAAGGATACATGGACTCTGCTTCAATTCCTTGAACTCCAGAGGATTTCTACCTGTAACTTCCATGTGAGAATTAGCAGGTGATTGTTCTGGATTGTCCTAATCCACTCCATGTCCTTTATTCCTATTTATCCGTATGGATAAGTAGCAATGATTTTAAAGCAGTGCGAGTGTCGAGGAGCTGGAACGTGGCACGGGCTCCTGTAGCCTGTGATCATTTTACAGATTTGTTCAGTTTCTGTGGCTGCAAAAGACATTTTGTTCCTTTGACGTTATCCATCAGACCAGACGTATGGGATGTCAGCAGAGGAGGAGGAGGTGCTGGAGAGGTTTGCTCCTTACACAATCGCTGTTTTCCTGGGCGCCTCAGTCACACGTTAAATTTTCATTATCTTCTCCCATTGTCTAGACTGAAGATCTGTTGATGTAATTTCTTGCAGCTCACTCGTTGGAGCAGAGCAAAGCTTCCTTGATGTCATGATTATGAAAAAGGCTTATTCTGTTACTGCTGGTCTGGTGGTCAGTGGGAACGGGGACGGTGCCCGGGGGTGATGGCAGCGCCGAGGGGCTCGGGGAGAAGGGGGAGCCGTGGGCTCTGGGAGCTCCTGCCAGGCTGGTTCATCCCCAGTGGCTCCTCTGTGAGCTCAGAGGGATGAGGGGAAGGTCTGGTTGGCAAAAGATTTGGGTTGGAATTTTAGGAAGGAGTCGTTCCCTGTGAGGGTGGTGAGGCACTGGTGCAGAGAAGCTCTGGCTGTCCCATCGCTGGAAGTGTCCAAGGCAAAACATTTGGGTTGTATTTTTGGAAGAAGTTGTTCCCTGTGAGGGTGATGAGGCCCTGGCACAGAGAAGCTGTGGCTGTCCCATCCCTGGAAGTCTCCAAAGTCAAATTGGATGAGGCTTGGAGCAACCTGGGATAATGGAAGGTGTCCCAGCCCATGGCAGGGGGTGAAACAAGATATTCTTTAAGATCCCTTCCAATCCAAACCATTCTGCGATTCCACAATCTCTTATTTACTGCTCCCTCTTCATTTAAAATCAGAATTTTGTTTAGATTGTTAAAATACACAGAGGGCAGACCCAGTTCTTAATGAACAAATAAACAGCAAGTTCGTCACTGAATAATTTATCATCTCAAACCTGATTAACAGTGTTCAGCCCTCCCAGTTCTTGTCTGACTTGATGTGGTGCTTGGCCTCCAGAGCTCTCGCTTTGGATCACACTGTTCAGAGATCCGTGTTCCACGTGGGACTTGGAGATACACAGAGAACTATTAATAGGAATTTTTCCTACATGGGAGTTTAGGGCCTTCCAGCAAAGTCCTTGGCTCTATTATAGACTTTTTTTTTCTGGTCAAGTCATTCAGACTTCGTGCCTCAGCTCCTCTGAGGAGGAGTGTGGATGCTTTCCTCCCTCCATGGGGGAGATGTATGTCAGTATTTGGGAGGTTTCTCAGAATTTTAATGCTGAGCACACAAGAGGGGATGTCCCTGAGGTCAGCAGGGCTTAGCTGCTCAGTCTTGCTGCTGCAGAAATATCAGTGATATTTAATGGCCCTGTTTAGAGCATGAGTACTTTGTTCAAGGTTATTTTTGTAATAATAAATAGTATAATTATCATAATAAGTAGTGTAATTATAGTAATAAATAGCATGTATGGAAATTATTGATTTTAAAATTGGAAACAGAGAAAGTCTGGTGGAATTTTGGCTTGGTGCTGTGACAATAGAGTTGCTTTGGCCTGCATTGATTTTAAGATTTATGTTCTTGTATTGTTGCCCATATGAAATTTTTATGGGCATTATATTACAATGAATATTGAAGTTACTTGACAAATAAAGGAAATCTTTGTTAATGTGGTTGAAGTGAGTGATTGTGACATTATAAATCAGGCAGAGTAGATGTTAAGTGCACTGCAGCCAAGCAGGGCCTAATGGAGCTGCTCTTGGCTCCTTGTGTGGCTTGGGGTGACTTGTGCAGTTATTTTACTGTACAAGCTAAACCTGAGACAAGAATAAAGTGGTGACCAGGATGTTCCCAGGGATCAAAAAGCAATTTCAAGTAACCTCTCTTTTTTTTTTTTCCCTTTTTTTCTTTCAGTATCCGCAGTGTTATGCAGAAATACCTCGAGGAAAGGGGTGAATTAACCTTTGACAAGATCTTTCATCAGAAAATTGGTAAGTCATGTCTCAATAAAATGTTATTTGTGTAGATAATTTCACTATCAGTTTGGTTTTTACATTTTTCTGTGGTGCCTGCTGAGGAGCCAGGGCTGTAGATTGAGGAACACTGGAGGATGGACAGGACTTAGTGAAACAAAGGTCCTCAAGAAGATGAAATGCTGTGAAAGGGAAGAAGACAGAGCAAGGCCATCTGTCAACTTCAGGTTCTGGAAAACTACAGGGAAAATAATTAAATTATTTGGAAACATCGAGGAGAAAATGATATTACTTGGTATGGGCTTGTCAACAATGTAATGTGTCACATCAGTTAAGTTTTTTTTTTTCTTTGCAGAGGTAATGAGCCTGTTGATAAGGGAGCAGGAGAAAAGATCCCAGTTGTGTTGTCTTGGCCCTCTGACATGGTGTTCTTGCTCCCAAGACAGGGGGGGTGAAAATTGTGTGTGCAGGGGGTGAAACTGCTGGGAAATGGGCTGGTGGAGCAGTTAATCATGGAAATGTGGATGCAGGGAATGGGAACATCAGAGATCAGTGTTGATGCTGCAGTGAGGAGCCTCCGTGATTGCTGTGACACACCAAGGACAAAAACTCCACAAACCAGGGGAGGGAGAAGATGCAGTGCTCCCAGGGAAATCCTGCAGTGTCCTTCCTTTCCACCTGTGCCACAGCAATGACAAGGCACAGCCTGGGGACCCTCAGGGCAGGGACTTGGCTGTGACAAGCCAGCCCTGAGCTGTGTCGGCTCAGCTGGATCACACACGACTAAATATAAAATCAGTGTTGTAGCCAGCGAGGCATGTGAAATAATCCTCTTCTGGCAGAATGTTGTGTCCATCCTGGCAGTGGATTAAAAAAAATATATATACATGGACCTGCTGGGAAAAGTCCAGGAAGGAGCAGTGGGAATGAGCAGTCTGTTAAATCTGACCTACAGGGAAGTATTGAAATAGGGTGTGATGTGGGCAGTGGAAGGGAGAAGTGAGGTTGAACATGATTCAAAACCAGAAAAGCTGTTGCAGAAATGATGAGGTTTGTCCATTTTCTAGAGCTTTAATTTCAATGAAAAAAAAAATTAAGATTTTAGTGGCAGTGTGGGTAATAAAGCAGGGAGGGTTTCATGAAGGGCCTTTGGGATTTTTGTGTGGCAGATTTGAGGAGTGAGTTGGCTGGCAAGTCTTGAGGAGGTCAGTGGTTTTAGTCCTGTCTGAAATGAGGCTGTAGTGAACAAAGTACCTGATTTCCCAGGAAAATTGGTGCAATGGGGGCATCTTTGGGCTGGTTGAATTTTCACTGGCCTCCCTTCTGGCTGGAGCAGAAATACCCCAAAACCTTCCTGCTTGCCTGGCAGTGTGCAGCTCGCTGCAGTGGGAGTTTTAGGTATTGCCAGATTAAAATAATCGATTTTCCTGTGTCTCAGAGTGTCATTAATGAGTCTCAGAGCCATTGGAAGTCTTTTCACTGTGTTTCAACAATTGGAGCACGGTCTGTACTTGTGCTTAAAACTATGACTTTTTATTGTGCCCAAAACTTTTGCCATGTAAATGCAGATACCTTGTTTGCTTGTACTGACACCTCAGTGTGTGCTTCAGCTCCAGTGCCTGTGCTGAATCATTAATATTTTGCTGTAGCCTGGCAGTTGCAAAATAAGCAGAATTTTAAGCAACCAAACACAGCCTGACTTCAACCGAGTCTCTTTGGGGGCAGTGAAATGAAGAAGTCCCTTTTTTATTTTTTTTCTCTATAAAAAGAGAAGTCAAACAGACCATCTTCTATGTAATGGATATTTCTATTTGTGTAATTGAATACTTTTCATTACCTGTTACAGCGAGGACTGTTGCAGTTATTTTGATTAGTTACAGCAATTACAGTTAGGTAACTGGAACCTTGGAAGGATTAGATCGTTCTCTTTTTTTCCCCCATGTTGGTAGTAGCCATTAAAGCTGGAATTTTAGAGCCCACTTTCATTAACATTTTCGTTTCTGTGCACAGAGGAGAGGTTTCCTCCTCCTCCTCTCCCCGGGTACAGTCAGAGCAGGACTTGCCCTGGATTACCTGGAAATGAGGAGCAGTTCTGTGAACGCTGTGCAGGAGTTTCAGTTCATTCTGAAGCTAAAATAGGATTTAAAATGGGATTTTAAAAAAAGATTAAAGCTAAACACGACTGTTTTTAACAGCAGACTTTGCATCACGCTGGAAAATACAGTATTTCCTTTACTGTGGTTGTTCATTTAAATTTGATTGCGTTTTCTAGCGGGTTCTTTGCCACTCAATTAGCTCTGTTTCCAGACATTAGCATAATTGCTTGTGGTAAAGTACCTGCAGTTTTAGGCGAGCGTTTTGCGAAGGGCTGTGAGGAGAAGGATGGGGAGGTAATTAAAACTCTAATCACCTTTTTGTTCTGCTCCTTGTGTCTTTGGCTGGGGGGGGATGTGGTGAGACCGCGGGTGGGGCAGGTCCTGTGGGGGGAATCTCCATCAGCCTGATCCAGTAATTCTGCTGGATCTTCCCTGGTTTTTCCTGTGATAATTTTACTGAGGATCCATCCAGCACTCCCTGCTTTATCTTTACACACCGACTATAAAATGCACCGAGCTCCCCAGTTTTTCCTTGGCAACTGCTCTAGATGAGAACTGGTTTGTTTCTTATTTCATTTTTTTTTTTCCCCCAGACCTAAATTTTTCCTCACAGCTCTAGGTCACCTTTTTTTTTCTTTTTTTCTTGTTTTTCAGTATCCTTTCAAATGTAAAGCCATGCTTTGATCAGCTGTCTGATCCAAGGGCTCTGATGTCAGTATGGATGTTTCCCTGTGCATGTGTCTAATTATGGTGCTGGTCTCATCACCTGCAAGTGTTTATTTTTAGTGAGCCCTAAAATCATTTTAGGGTCAGTGCTTTCCTGCTCCCACTGCCAAAGCTTGGCCCAAATTCCCTTCCTGCCAGGTGTGCCACTGCAGGGAGCGACAGGGGCAGCTCTGCCTTGGAAACCAAACCCTTTAGGATCAGGATAAGAGCAGGAAGCTCATCAGGGATGGAAATGGCTCCATCAGATTTGCACAAACAAGTCTGTCCCCTGTTTGCATCCCTTCCCTCAGCTCTCATCCCTTGGTGCTGGCACCGCTGTGTGCCCCCCGAGTGATGCTCCACCACGATCTGGAGCTCTCTAAGAATGTCCTGGTGAGTCAGAGGACATGGAGCTCACAGAAGCACCCAGAAGAGTGCTCTGGCAGCCCAGCCCAGCCGGCTGTTCCTTCAGAAGCTGCTTCCTCCACAGCAGAAGCCTCTTGGGGAAGTACAGCCTGTCTCGAAGCCGAGTGCGTAACCACCTTAGCCGGTTTTCTTTTACCACATCCTGTTTGCTACAACACCAGATTAGGAGTTTCTTTAGAAAAAGAGGCGTTTTGAGGGGTTTTGGAAGCATTCAAGGCCAGGTTGGGCAGGGCTAGGAGCAGCTTGGCTAGTGGAGAGTGTCCCTGCCCATGGCAGGGGGTGCAGTGAGATGGGATTTAAGGTCAAACCAAACCATTCTGTATATCCAAATATATGTAAATATCCATAATTTACATATGGAATCCACTCTGCTTCACAGCAGTGTGAAAATTGCACGTGGAGTCCTTGTCACGGAGAGCCCCTGCCCTCAGAGGGCAGGTGGGAATGAGCAGATCAGGGGCTGCTGCAGCCAAGGCCTTCAAGGGAACCTATGAGATCATAATATTGCTTTGGAACAGGATTATCCTGGTTATTAAATGCTTTGGAGCAAACTTGCTGCCAGTTACAACTCAGTGACTCTGGGCTTTCAGACAAACTGGGAATGGAGTTGGGTTAGAAATCCTGGGATGTGATCTTGGAGCATCCACAGCTCCATGGTTCAGCCTTGGCTTCTCTGGTGACTCTGAGACCGTGGTGAGGGCCAGCAGGCTGCTGTCATCTCTGGAGCTGGGGGGACGTGGCAGTTCCTTCACACCCTTCTCGGTTTCTCATCTCTCGCACGGCCGTTGGGGCTGGGGGAAGGATGAGAACAGGACGTGTTTTAGCTGGTTCAGCAGCTGCTCTTGCTGCACTGTGAGTTTTGCACCTTTCCTAGGAAGTAACTTGCTTTATTTTTTCTCCCCCTGAAGGTGGCTTAGTTTTTTTTTTTTTTTTTTCTTTGTGAATTAATTAAAACAACTTGTAGTTGACGTAAGAAGTTACAAACCTTTTTTTTTTTTTTTTTTTTTTTTTTTTCCTTATTTACCATCCACTTTCGCAGAGTGAGGGATGATCTTTCTGAGGTGATTCATTCCACTGTCTTCCATATCCTCCTCAACCAGATCCAAGCTGGAGGTTTTCCCAGCAGGAGGGAGAAGCATTTTGCCATCTGCATCAGGGGCTGGTTCCAACCCACGGGGGCTTTGTGGGGGCTCTCAGCCCCTTCCCTGCTCCCCTTGTCCTCACCCAGCTCAGCATGGATCATGTTTGTTCTGCAGCTCCTCAGCTCAGCTTCCAGAGAGCATTTGGTCTGTTTGGTAGCTCCTTCTGCACAGGGAGTTTTTTTTTTGTGCCTGCCCTTCTAATTTTCAGGGAAATGTGCTCAGAATGACCCTGCTGGCTGCTGTTTCCTCCAGCTTGGTCAGGGACAACTTTCTGTTAAAAAAAACCCAAAAAACCAACAACCAAAACTGGGGTGAGAACAGCTACAGCAGGGGGTTTTTTTTGGTTTTTTTTTTTGGTTTTTTTTTTTTGGGGCAGTGAATGATGCTTTCTGTTGCTTCTTTCTCCAGTTAAGGATTCATATTTCATTATTTCAGAGCTTTGGTGCTAATCATTAGATAGGAGTTAAAATCTGTTGAGAAAAACATTCTTGCTCTTCCTCTTTCTGCTGGCACCGTGCTCCCTGAACTGCCTAAAAATAACAGGCTGGGAAAAGTGACTCCCTAGAGCATTATTTAAGCTATTGTTTAATTTAAGCAGAAGATCTATGTGCTGTTGGCATTGTGGACTAATTAAATAGTCCTCTGAGGA